ATTCAAGGGCAAAACTATAATTTCACATTAAAAAATGACACACCCATGACTAATCCTCCCCTTTCGGCACAAACAAATAGTATCACCTCCACCTTGCGAAATGCATCAAGAACCCCTTTCTATTTGCCGTAAAAAACTAAGAGAACCAAAGTATAATTCGGTCAAACCACAAACAGTAAATTGTGTATTATGAAAAATGCATCAAGAAGCCCTTCATTTACTATCAAATTAAACACTAAGATAACCAAAGTATAATTCGATCAAACCACAAACAAAAATGTACCAGAAGAACCCCATAATCAATAATTTCAGATACCAAGAGTGCGTAATATACCAATACAAGTAAGAAGGAAATAATATTATTTTAGCCCGTCATATACACAAATTGACCTTTTATATATATATATATGTGTGTGTGTGTGTGTACATAACACTTATACCAAATTGTTTTAATAATTGCATATAGGTGAAGCAATTAATTGCTGTAGCCACTGTTAACAACAAATAATATGCAAGTGCTGGTAGGAAAAAGGCAGAGATAGACAATGGCACTTTGGAACCACAAAATTTTGTTTATTGTGATAAACATCTTCCATCCCAAAAAAAAAAAATATTAATTGCTATAATATGATACACGTACGTTTTCCGTCCTAGAAATATTAAAGTGGGCTGCGTACCGTAATATATGAAAGGAAAGGAATAATAATAATTATAAGTCTTATGCACGAAGTTATTAGAAACAAAATATTAGATGTAGATTACTATGCTTGCTCTTTTCTCCTCCGCCTGGATTTGTTTTTCGCGAAAATGAAACCGCTCGCCTCGTTGCATTGAATTGTTCTTAGAAGGATTTTATATATTAAAAGATGACAACCTAGAAACTAAAAATTGTAAAAAGAAGATGGGTTGTAGTCTGTTGAGCCAGAGAATTCAGCAACGATGTGAAGAAGTGAGAGATTGAGGGGTGGGGAAGCACTAGAGAATCGTGGAGAAAGGAAGAGGCTTTTAACAATTTTTTATTTTTTGTTTTTGTTTTTCTCTGTATAAAACTAATTGAATGCCGTAATAGTAGTGGGTAAAACAAAAGCCATCTAGGATTTATTTAAGAAAAAAACACAATGCTTAACCCAAATGCCTTAATAGATATCTCTCCTGACAATGTTCATAAAATGTCTTAATATATTTGTCAGCAAAGTCTCTTTTTCTTGTAGTGTAACCCTAATTTTCTCGGTTCCAAGCGGTGAAGATTACTCTAAACTACTGCTGGCAGATGGCTTTTGCAACTCCAGTCTTTGCGACTCCAGTCTTTTCAATTTATCTTTCAGTTTCCACATCTTTTTCTCGTTCTTGGCAACCTAAAAAAAAAGAAAAAGAAAAAAAGAGCGACATAAAAATCACGCGAATACAAAAACAAAAACTTATAACACAGAAATTAATCGACCAGCGGCCATAACAGTAACAACCATAACAGTAACAACGATCACGAACTAGTTTATATATATATATGCATATAAATATGTATGTATATTGAATGATCTTAATAAAAAAATATCCAAGGTCCATAACCCTAAGTATAATTAAAACAAATTTGAAAAAAAAAACACACACACACACACATACAAAATACAAATTAATTAAAAGGCATGAAAAAGGAAACAGATGAGAGACCTTGTAGTTGTAGTGCATGTTAGAGATATCCACGCATGTTTTATGAAAAGCGTCACTGAGCCTGCGAAAGAGAGAAGGGGTTTTTCAAAAACCTAGTAGAATTTAATTAGGGTGGAAAAAAAAAAAAAAGCAAACAAACAAAGAAGATACTTACGGCTCTCGAAGTAAAATTCCCATGCCCAGGACAACAACAGTGGCGCCCAGAAAGTTCCTTTGCGATTGTTTACCCAAGCGGTTCACTTGGGCTTCGATGCTACCCAAGCGATTCGCTTCGGTTTCAATACTACCCAAGCGATTCACTTCAGTTTCGATGTTGCCCAAGCGATTCACTTCAGTTTCGATATGTTTTAGTTCTTCCATGGTTGATGATCCCAGAGATTATCAAAAGAAGATGAGAGTAAGAGAGAGAATTAGGGGATGCCTAGAAGATTTGAGAGTGAAAATTAATTACTTATGGTCTTGTAGAATATATAAAGCTACTAGACACACGTACATATTTATTTATACAGGGATGGGGTTGTATTGTTTTATAAGTAGTTTTGTCCTAAGAGTCTTTTTGTCCGTACGTATTAGTGTATTACACAGAGTTCAGTCCCAAAACTCTAGTTAAGCCCAATAATGATAACCCTAAAAGAAAACCCGAACATGCTCTATTATTTAAATAAGTAATTAGTACCACTATTTAAATTTTTCTCGATGTTCAAAGCTGGACATACCTAGTTAGTGTTAGTCTACAATCGCACTCCCTCCATTTAAAAATAGATGTCGTTAAAGAAAAACTCAATTTTTTTTCAAAATATATGTCGTTTTTGCATATCAAGGTATATTTTGCCAATTTCTCCCAATATTTTCCTTAAATCAAAAATTATAATTGTGTCTATAATAAGCTAATATAAAAACCACCGGATCAAAATAGTTTCTTGCGATTTGATTGGTCGAGCGGTCGTCACGTGACATCATCTTTGCATCACTTTTTTATTGAGGGACATATATGTGATCAACTAATTGACATTTTTCAGTTTTGATATTTTTAGCAAAACCCCCCACACCCAAAACGACGCCGTTGCAATTTAATTTATGGCAAAATGTATTACACCAAAAACGACGTTGTGTTTCCCCAAAAAAATCTGATATAAAAATAATATTATATTAGAACTAAATTATATTAGAAATAGAATTACAGTTAGAGTAAATGAAGGTAATTTATTATTTTAACCAATTTTTATTATCTTCTTAAACTTTGTGCAATTAATCCAACGACATCTATTTTTGAATGAAAGGAGTATTAAGTTGTTTACCTATCAATTTCAAGAAAATATTGTGTGCAATTATTGTACCGCATAGGATTGTACAGCCAGACACAATAAGTAGGGTAAAATAGTAATATTGGGGAAAAGTGATGCTAGTACTTATACAATAATTTTTCTTCAATTTCATATTCATAATTAATGTGCTCTACATATTCGTATATTTTTCATTTACGAATCCATAGTAAAAGGTAAAACAAAAAAAATAATAAGTAGAAAAACATACCACCCTTCTGCATGTCTTCACAAACATAACTTTGTGTGCCTAACTGAAATAGAATAATTATTAGTCTAATCATATGTAATATACTACTCTCTAATCTAATTGAAATGATTAAACTCTCAGTTAAAAGAAATTAATCGTTCATTTTATTCCGTTTATAAGGTTGTAGATCAACCAGTTTAGGCTAATTGAATTTTAATAAAAAAAATTTAGTCTAATTGTATGATGTAATTCAATAAACCCCAATCTAATTGAAATAGTTGAATCTTAAGTTTAAAAAAGGTTAATCAAAATAGTTTATTCTGTTCGGATTTAAATCTTACAAGGTAAAGAAAATTGAGCACACATTTTTACTTCACTTATGGTTAGGGTCTCGTATTTTAATTTGATTATAAAAATTCTTAGTCTAATCGTATTACGTTCTAGGCTCTAAGTAATTAAATGAAATGAGGGCAAATTGTATGGGATTGAGCTGTACATGACCACTAACACATTAATAATATCTTTCTTTCTCTTTAGAGAATGAAGTTCGCTTTTTGGTTATTTGTCTAGCCAACATTGACTTGAAAAGCTTCGAAATAGAACACATCACATAATGATAATGCAGACACGTAATAACTTATTATTGAAAAAGAAACCATATCATGTTAGAGCTTCTTGATAAATGAGTTTTATAGTTTTTGTTCTCAAGTTATGTAATCATATATTAACAGTATGAAGAACAGAACCTCATACAGGCCACAACGGCAACCCGAACTATAATTTTTTACTATCTCAAAAGGGTTATTCGGAAATACACCTATGAAATTGAGATCAATAAAATCATCTTCTAAGAAGTTGTTTCTAGTTGGCTAGGAGGACGTTGATTGAAAAACTCGGATGCTCACTTACTAACTTAGCAAATATGCAATCAGCAACCGAGGCAAAAAAAAAAAAAAAATGAAATACTCTCTCCGTCCCAAAATTATTGTCCAGTTTAAGTTTTCATTTATAGTACAAATTGTACTAAAAGTGATAACCCAAACTGGACAATAATTATGGGACTGAGGGAGTACTATTTTGCATTCACAAAAATCGATCTCCATAATCCACGGTTTTTTTTTTTCCCAAAACCCGTATCCCGTAATTATAGATGTTTATGAGATAAGGAAATCAGAAAAATTTTCAAGATATACAACTGACAAGCTTAATTGAAGAAAAAGAAGCAAAATCAGAGGAAAATAATTGTACATTGTCTAGAAGATTTTGATGAAAATAATCAGTGAACGAGAAATTAAAAATATGCATGTGCACGTAGGTCCGATTGAGAGCATAGCAGTTGGTAGTTGATCACGTGGAAGAAACAATTGCATGTGCATAGTGGTCGTTATATTTTTGCCCTGAAAACAATTTTTGATTTATAATTTTAATTAATATCACATTCTATTTTTTTCATTTTTTGTGGCCTTGGAGTACTCAAGTCGTGACCACTTGTAATTAAGTCAGTGTCTATTCATCAAACATGTCTATATTTTAACGAGAAGATCAGCAAGTGCTGTCGAAAATGCACATTTTCATTTTTTTGGTACCATAAAAAAGTACTTTATCGAAAATTTCAAATTATTATAGCGCGCTGGTAAGAGATACTAACTACATGATATAGCATCAATGAGATTTACTACAACTAGTGATTCATCTAAAATAACTGATGAATCCACATCAAAATTCAACTCACGATATATGCTTCAACTCCACATACCATTCATTCTATAATAAATTTAGCTGAATTTCTATTCTACTTCACTGTTACTTGCAGAATTTTCATATGCTCCCATATGACATGTCATATTCTACTTCACTATTACTTCAAGAAACTGAACAGTTTAAAATCAAGCTGAAGTCATAATCTACTTCACTATTACTTAGCAAAATCTCATATGCTCCCATATGACATGTCACCCGCCTTCTTAATTCAAGCTTCTAAATTTTTTTTCTTTTGCTATATAAAGAGAGGCACTCACCAATTGCTCATAAGGCAAATCAGCAAGACCAGTTTTAGACTTTTAGCTACTAACTGCTCTTCTTCATCCTACAATTTGTCACATTCTTTCATTAACAATTCCTCAATTTGTTATCCCCTATGGCTACTCCTGCATTTTCCTTTTTATCCTTTTTGTTCTTCTCATGCACCATGTGGTTTTCAGAGACTGCTTTAGCTCAATATGGAGGTTGGGAAAGTGCTCATGCCACATTCTATGGAGGCGGTGATGCATCTGGCACAATGGGTATGTTCTAAATCTGTTTTCCGTTCTTTCTACATTTCAATTTTAACATTGATTCAAACCCGAAAAACAAAAAGAAAAATTGTTTAATAAAACGAAAATGGTGAATACACAGGTGGAGCTTGTGGATATGGGAATTTGTACAGTACAGGATATGGAACCAACATTGCAGCACTAAGTACTGCTCTGTTCAACAATGGATTGAGCTGTGGATCATGTTACCAGATCCAATGTGCAGTAAATGACCCGAAATATTGCTTGGGAGGAAGTGTTACAGTTACAGCAACAGATTTCTGTCCACCTAATCCAGCTCTGCCTAATGATAATGGCGGATGGTGCAATCCTCCTCGCCAACACTTTGATATGGCTGAACCAGCTTACTTGCAAATTGCCCAGTACAGAGCCGGAATTGTCCCCGTCGTTTACCGGAGGTAAACAACTTAACATAGAATCAGTTTCAGAATTATTTCTGAAATGCTCTGTTTCTGCTCTGTTTCTGAAATGCTCTGTTTCTACTAAGGATTTTGACTGAAATGCTCTTTTTCTGCTCTGTTTTTCTTTTTTTTTTTTAACAGGGTATCTTGTGTTAAGAAGGGAGGAATTAGGTTTACAATTAATGGGCATTCCTACTTTAATTTGGTTTTGGTATCAAACGTTGCTGGAGCAGGAGATGTACGTGCTGTGTCAATCAAAGGATCAAGAACAGGGTGGCAATCATTGTCAAGAAATTGGGGTCAAAACTGGCAGAGCAATTCTTACCTTAATGGCCAAAGTCTCTCCTTCCAAGTCACCACCAGCGATGGAAGAACAGTGACCAGTTACAATGTTGCTCCGGCGAACTGGCAGTTTGGTCAGACATTTGAAGGAGGACAATTCTAAGTTTCTTCATATATTATTTATTAGTATAAAAAAGAAAGAACCATTTAGCGTTTTCACTCCGTCCCAAAATGATTGTCATGTTTGTTGTATTCAAAATAGTACAAAAAAAACGGACAATTATTTTGGGACGGAGAAAATGTATGGCTCAATTAAAGGTGTAGTAGGATCAAAAGAAAGAGGCGAAGCCGCGCAGGAATGGTGGTTCTATGGCAGTGGTAGCACGTTGTAGCACCCGCTTAGGCCTAATATATGTTGCAAATTTGCAATCTGTCTACATGTATCACACTAGCAATGTGTTGAGTTTTTTATTTATAGGTTTAGAAACTTGAGTTCTTGCAAGTTTATGTAATTTTTGAGCTGATACTGAGTGGTGGATATGTATTACTAAATTATTATTGCTACCTTTTTTCACAGTAAATTATGCGCAAAATTTTTTTTTTTTTTTTTACAATAAAGAGAGGCATAAAGCTTAGTTACAGGAAACCAACACACGTTTCGTGGATAGGAGATCCCAATTAAGACATGCTCTAACCATGATTTAACTTTATTCGGAAGAGCTGGCAAGGATTGGTGTCCTCCTGGACATCTAGAAGCTAACTCCGCCAAACAATTAGCAGCAAAATTGACTTTTCTATAAACATGTTTTAATACAACATGTTTTAATGCAGCTCCCGAATTGCACGAACAAGTCTCGAATGAAGCCCCAAATCAACATCTTTGATGGGATCCATAGTCCCACTTGTTGTGACCCGCATTGTTCACCATGGGTCGGGTCGGGTCTAGTCAATAATAGAATTTGACCCTTCATTTTAGGGTATCTCTTCTATAAATACTCTTTATCAGCTTCCAGGTAAAGGTTTTATATTCTTCTTCTTTACTCTATCTTCTATTTCATACATAATCACCATGCTTCCATGGCTGGTCTGATCTCAACCCCAATTGACTTGGGCGTCGGAGTTCAATCCTGGGGCACACCTCCGGGATGAGCACTGACTCCTGTTCTTTTTTACAGATTTCACCATCAATATAAGCACAAAGAGAAGGTCTAGTTACAATTGTAGATGGAGTTCAAACTTCGGTGATAACATTCCGTCTTCCAATCTCCCAAGCCAAATTGAGGACTTGAAATAAACTCCACAATTCCGCACTTGTAATAGTATAGAAACCGATGTTCATAACAAACCCCGCTCTCCAAGCTCCACAAAAAGTTAAATGAGGTGATAATTTGTGGCAAAAAGCAATAATACAACATGTAACTCAAAAAATTAAAATTTTGAAGGTTTAAAAAAAAAAAAAAACCTATAACATGGATACAACACTAAATGTGTTACTTAGATATGTCAGGTCAAAATAATATTATTTTTTTTTAGAAAAAGTACATGTATATTAATTAAAAGATACATTTACTATTACATTGCATTTTATGATATGTAAGATTGTGTGAATCTTGCACATCTTGTCTAAGAACTTTAATAAGTCGACAAGAATGAAAAGAAAAAATTAAGGAAGATAACAAACTACGTATCGTATGTGCTTCTGTGGGAAGAAAGGGAGATTCTAGATCCCCGGTGAGGGCTTTACAGTCTGTATGGACTACAATTCGGGGATCCCAAGACTCTGTGCTTCTTTCAGAGCTAATAAGCATGTTAATGCTTCCGTTTGGAATGGGAATAGGGCATTTAAGTCGATGGCCTTAATTTGCAACACCACACCATATGGAGATACAATCCTCCATGCTCCGGCAGCCTTTCTGGATTGCGGATTGAATGAACCATCAAAATTATTAGGCTTGTAGAGTTATTAATCCTCGGATGTGTACTCCGTTGTCTAGAGCTTGTGAGCCTGAGTTGAGTATGCATATGGAGGCAAAATAGCACAAAACCTTTGTTTATCAATTCACACACAAAATATAACTGGATTGTCTTAAGCAATGACTTAAAACCACAAAGGAGCAAAAGAAGCAACTTGATAAGGCAAAGTTAATTAAGTAGTTAATCATTAAATTTAATGCTATCCATAAGGATCCATCATATGACTTTCAAATCGGGACGGGAACATCTCTCTTTTAACACATAATGTGAAAGAGATAGATAGGATTAATGTTCACCCAAGAAGAGAATGTGTATAAAAATTAAAATAAAAAAAAACTAAAAAGATCGGTACGAATTAGAAAGAAAAAAAAAAGACCCTAAAAGGATAATTATTTTATTTCATTTTACATTTTTTTGGTATAAATATTGAGACTATCGCCATCAATCATTAGATGATATGATGAAAAACACCGATTATATAATTTTTTAGTCATGGTTTGACACTCTTTGGAACGTAAGTTAAATAGTGGATCCCAATTCCAAAATTACAGTGCCGTCAAATATGCAAAATTAGAACCGCTCGTATATATGTTGCTATTGTTGTCATCCTTTTTTTGTTTTTTGTTTTTTTTTTTTAGTTTTCTTTATTTTTTTGGGAAGGGGAAACAACTTGTGTTGTTGAAGATGCCAAAAAGACCACAATGTCTAACAACTTCCTCTTACATTGTACAGTACGTAGATGGACTAGTTGTTAGTTGTAACGTAGTTTTCCTCAGAGAAACAAGTTTTTGCAGTCCATGCCTATAGCATTTGGTCGGTCTCCTTACCTAATGCCTCATGGGCCAAGCTCAAGTTCCCCTATTGCCATTTGCCAAATTAGTTTGGGACTAAACTTTTAATCCCACGCGTTTTTCACGGTTCATATTAGACGGTCTTTGGTGATGATAAATAACAAGTTAATTACTAATTAATTACACTCTTTACTATTACATAGAATAATATATTAATATTGAACTGTTAAGAATTCTTACATTATTATGTACTATTTGATTTTATGAGTTATAACTATGTAAGTAATTTGTTACACTTTTATAATGTAAAACCAAAATGAAAAAAAAAAAAGTAGCATAAAGTGTAACAATATAAAATGATGATATGATGATGCATTACATCTCTAATGGTATAAATCATAAGGGATGCTCTTAGAGAGTTCAAAAGTGTACTTAACCACAGGATGTATCTTGAACTTAAACATAGTTACCTGGTTGGACGATAATTTGGCAGTCATCAACATACCAACCAACAATAATATATGAAATGTAAGACAAGAGTCTAAAGCCTCAACTCTCAAGTTAATTTCTGAAGTTGCATACTTTCTCGTATTGATAGTCCAATAATTCATTAAGACCAACCATCTTCTCTGAACCCAAATTTCTTGCTCTTAGTTCTTATTTCTAGGCCTTGCGTTTTACTTTTAGGTTTCTCTCCGGTGATCGACGAAGTATATTTCTCGAATTGGAATCAAGGAGATCTGCCTAAGGATAAAATCAGGGCCGTCTTTCTTAAATGTTCCTCCAAACTGAAACTAAAAAAATCTAAATCGAACAATAATTTCGGAACAGAAAAAATAGTAGTTTTCGTGTTGCATTAAGGTCACCTAAGAAACAACAAGAGAGATTTGCGTCAGTGGTGCATTACCTAGAGTTTAGCCCTTTTCGTGTTAGGTTTGTATCGTGTGTTTGATTCATGTCACGAAATTGCTACCCCTAGATGAGTAGAATCTGTCGTAGGTGGAGAGAGTAAACTCAAACAATTGAGTTATCACTACACATTTTGTTGGGTGAAGAGTCCCCAAAAGAATAACAAAAACAACTAAAAAATGAAAGCTAAAAAGACTTAGCAAGAATGGGGTGAAAACAAAACGACCCAATGCAATGACTAAAAAAATTTACGAGAAAGCAACCAAGAATCTTCTCAGGCAATAGTATTTCTCGGCTTTGGCTTGACCTCAATTTTCCGAACTCGATGGATGAGTATACTCGTCTTTGCAGTGGCCGGATCATGGTGTCCGACGCCTTTACTCCAGTCGTAACACGCCGAATACGCAAACAGCGAGCCGTCATTGTTGAAAGAGCTGCAACTGGTGGGTTGATCGCACTTAGAAGAAGCCTTCAATCTCATTTTGCTATCCTTATCCCAGAAGTTAAAACAACCATCCGATCCCGCGGTCGCAAACGTTGAATGAACCGGATGGAAATTCAGGGAATTGACAGGGTAAATGTGATCCCCTTCTCTATGGCACTTGAATCTGTAATTCCGATTGAAATGCGTTTCGCTAACATGATGCACTGCCACCCGGCCAGAAATCCTTGCTTATCAGGGAACACTGCTAAACACCTGGTCGGGTATCTGAGAGGCGAGAAGGTCCGCTTAAACTCTGACTGAAAATTATTCAGATCGTACACGATAATGTTCCGGTAAGCTGTTCCGACAACCATCATCGGGTGTCGGACGGAAAGGGAGTAACATCGTTCCGGGAGTTGCTGAACATGAACTGGGCTCGACTGCCTTATTATCCCAACCTTAAAGTCTTGTCCCAACTTCCGGAAACCAAGAGACTCAATTCAGGGATCCAAGAAATCTCCTTGACAGGGGAATCATGGAAGCCCACTTGGACTGATGGGCGGAATGATGACAGGGGCAACATCTAGACTTTCTTGTCGCAGCCTCCGGTGAAGAAGGCGGTTCCGTCGTCTTTCCAGGCGGAGCAGAGAACCGGTTTTTCGTGCACCATTGATGCCATTGGAGAAGTAATGAGATTGTTTCCATTCCATGAAACTTCCCAACAGTTTACCTGATTATCCCATGAAGTGGAAACGAGGAAATTCGATTTCGGGCTAAAACAGAGGCTGGAAACCGAGTCGGTTGGCGGTTGAACCACCTCCGTGGAGCGATTGGGGTTACTGAATAAGGTAGACATTGTTGAAATCTGCTTGCCGGAGAGAATTTGATTGATGATAGATAGATAGACAAATCCTAGAGGAACTTGACGGAATTTGTGTCTAAAAATAACCAAAACCTGTTTTCTTAATCTCACAAAGTTCCTTATTTACAGAGTGTAGAAATTCCGCAATAACCAAAACCTGTTACTAATCGGGATTATGCAACTAATTTAGTCGTTGAAGTAAATAATTCATATTTGCTACTCTTGGAAACTACTGAATAATAATAATAAATAAAATCCTAGCGTAAACTATACGGTTCAATTTGTTGATCTTCTCTTGAAAAACAAAACAAATACCCTTCAACATTTTTTTGCCAAAATTACAAACTACATACATATTTTTTTTAACGCATGAGTAGTAGTGATTCACACACATATCCACAAATTTATCTCTGTTTACAGACATTAATTTACAGAAGAAGATGCAAACAGAGATGCAAAAACAGATCGTGAATATCATTACTCTGTGTAGTATGTACTGTAAATGAAAGGATACATAATTTAGATGTGGAATCTGTTGTAAACTTAAAGAACTAATCATAATGAGTGAGACGACTATGGGGAAACCCCCACCCCCCCACCCCCACAACACTATGGGAAAGAGTAGTGGAAGTTCATAAAATTATCTCCTCTTCATTAATTTCATCAGAAAGGACCCGTTACGTCCTAAAATCTTATCAATCTGATGTTGGATACCTCCATATATATAGTTCCTGCGATTTTCTCAACTGAGCTCCTATTATATTTATAACTTTGCACAAATAAGAGGACATTCCAATCAGGACATTTACAAAAGAGTAGCATAAGTACAAGGGAAAGTATCCATGGAAAACATGCAAGAATCAAAACAAATCAGTCAAGTTTTTCCTGATATTTATTTGGCGATTTCACGTCAGCTCGGTAATTTAGGAGAGTAATAATCATTACTCTCTCAATGTTCCCAAATCCCTGAATCAACCACATTAATTCAACTGACGAAAAAACCACAACAGGGACCATGGCACGGAAATGTTTCATCTTTCTGTTGATTTCAGCCAGCTGTTGGCGTACCCCTTCCCCTTCCATTCCCGGAATATGATCGGAGAGAAAAGACGAGATCGGAAAAAGACAAAGGGAGAACTGAGAAGAGACAAAGGATTTCAGTTTTAACCAACCCGGTATCTCCTTCCAGAGCATTATTGGGAGTGTTAAAAGTTGATATTCTAAGACATTAGTTAGTAGATGTACCCCGGATAAAGCAGATCGAACCCATAAAGGTTTCAATTCCAGCCCTATTGCCATGTATCTAAAGCAGACTTCCTCCATGTTTCTTGTCTACATGAATGTGAAATTGGGAAAATCTTGTCTACGTCGAGAGAACCGCCACTGAGATGCAGCTGAAACTAACCATGTCCAAACAAATACTCAAGTTTCGACGGTGTCAGGTGTGCCTACATTTGATTTTAAGCTGTAGAGCAGGAGCTGCTTTTCTTTTTCATCTTGAGAATGCGGAAGAAACAAGAATCAGCATTTCACAAAAATTCATACAGTCATGATGCCTAAATATACCCAGAACACTGAAGGCCAGCCAGAAAATCAATCATGAAACGATCTACAGCAGTATTGGAATGATTCCACTGCTCGTACTACAGCCCTGAAATAACAAGTACGGAGTAATCATTTTAGTCTGCTTCACATACGAAGAACGATTTAAAACTGTCATTTTATCCAATTTCCCTATAAATTGTGCATCTCACCGTGACAAATTTTAATTGCGCAGTTGCAAAGTTTCCGACTGTCAGTGCACATGACAACTTCAATTACTCACATTCCACACTAGCATACAGGATCTTCAGTCAGCACTAGAACATATATGCGGTCCTCATAATTCTGGAGAGTAAAGAAAGACTAAAGGCCTCTTATACCACGATTTGGTAATGGCTACATGGATCATATGTAGCCATTCGTGCTCTATAGAAACACAAATATTCAATTGAATTTATAGAAATCGTGTCAATTTTTTAGCTTCTTTCATAGGCTTTTTAAGTCTTCTCATACCCCTTTTAAACAGAGCTTCTGATTCTATAGCCCCTAATGCACATGATCAAACCATCTTACGCATGATGCTCTCTCTCATTTATCATCTTTTGGAGCTAATTCCACTTTCTAATGCATTCATAATGTAATCCTGTTGAATCTGTTTATTGCAAAGCCTTAAAAAACCGTTTGCAGAAAATTTCCACAAGAATGTGAAGTCCAAGTATAGCATAAGAATAACATATCAACCACAACCAATAATGCATAAAAAGAAAAAATCATACCTCTTCTTCCTTATTATTTTGATCACAAATACTAGTGATTAATCCCATAATAGATGCATCCACGGGGGACCTCTCCTTGTTCTATCCAAGTTGAGTGAGTTCACTAGTAGTTTTCAAGACACTGAAACATTGCTTCTTTGTTGCTGCCCCTGGTGTCTGCCTGTTGGAACACAGAAATGCAGCCCATTTTCAGTCCGAGAGTGTTAAGGAAGATGCCTGACCGCCAAGACAACTATAGGTGAGCACTGACCTATTGAAATTACCACCCGGCGAAGTGGCACCCTGGGAAATTCCAGCAAGTAAAGGAGCAAAAAACTCATTGCATATTCTTTCAACGTCTGTCACGTAAACATGCTATCAACAATGCATTCCCTCTCTTTGATGACGTTTTGTTGGGGTCATGCAAGTCTCTTAATCTGTGACGTAGCTTCTGATTGGTAAACATACAGCTTAGTACTGATTCTAGCTTTCGGTGATTGTCCCTTAACTTTTGTCCTCCGCACCATTTTATTTCTTATTTATTTATTTATTTATTTATTCATTTATATCTAGGTCGGAATCACGATTTAGATATCAAGGTGAAAAGCTGGTTAACTAACGAATTGAAGAAGAACATGCATCCCTTCGTATAAATTAAAAATTATATTTACTACTTCAGGTTAAGGGTTTCACTTATTCAATAGTTTCTTCTACCCTTGTTGTAGGCTACTTTGCCGATAGACCATTTTGATTAGAAACCATGGCAAAGAAATCAACAAAGAGCTCAATAAAATACTCCAGAAGAAAAATCATCAACTTTTTTCATGCCTTTAATTGCTTTCAAGCTTGAAGAAATATATCAGTCTTTACAATTCAGATACACAGTATTATTTTCATGATTTTTCTTTATATACGGTTTTTCTTTTTTTCACACTCATATACACTGTAAGATAAATACAAGGCGTTTCAGTGAGAGAGAACTTTACAGACTTATGGCGATTTCCAGTGGATCTTCACCCTTGTCAACTACAAAGGTCTTGGTAACTTTTGATTTTTCATTAACAATTTCCATCTCATAGGAACCCTGGAATCCTCTGAAGCAGAATTGCCCCTGTCCATCAATGTGGCCATGAGCATGAGTTAGCCATTCATCCCTAAGAGCGAGGTATCTTCGACCAGCTTCATTGAGATCACCTTCTGCATTCACGAGATGCGAGTTTTCTCTGCTCATGTACAGCTCCCAGAATCCCCACAACATAATACCTTCTACTGCTGGATGAGCGAAAGCTTCTCGAAGCATAACTTCCAAATCATCGGCTCTAATGTGCTCATTGGCAGAAGACACGTCGAGTTCAGTGAACCAGATTGGTAGACCGAGCACGCCCAACTTGTTTAGAGCAGAGCGCACAATAGGTCCTACTGGACTGTCTATATGCCCCTGGATACCTATGCCTCCAACAGGTGCACCCTGTTTTTGGAGATCAAGTATGTGCTCCATATACTTTTCAGGGTAGGACCTGGTGTCACTGCCGTCCTCAACGTGGTAATCATTCACAAACAGAATAGCTGATGGATCTAGTTGGTTTGCAGTCTTGAACATGTTGGCCCGGATATCTTTACCTAGTCTATCTTGATAGAATGAACCATGCAGCATTTCATTGTTTACATCATAGTGTGGGAATTTTCCCTTGTAGCGTGTGAGGAGACCTGTCAGACGGTTTTGAACAGCAGTCATCAAGTCAGTTTGGTTCAAATTGCGTACCCACTGTTGAACAGCATCCACAACCTCCCAGAAGATGCAGTGCCCCCGGACTTGAATATTATGGCTCATGCAAAAGTTCAGGAGTTCATCGGCATCTTTGTAGTTCAAGTTCCCTTGCTGTGCTTCTGTCCAGTACCACTTCAATTCGTTCCCAAAGACAGCCCAATTGAAATTTTTAACGAAGAAATTCGTGAAGTCCTCATTGTCAATGTTTTCCCTCGCCAAACATGAGCCAAATGGGAAGCTGTTTTGAGTTTGTTTGACTCTTACTAATGTGCCAAGTAAACTGCCTGAATCTGCTGCTGATATTTTCAAGACGACGTCACGTTTCCGTATCTGCATGGAAGCACAAGTATAGCAGTGTTAAATTTGAATATGAGTGGGCATATCCACAAAACAAGTCACAGAAATGCAGTTTAACCAACATGGTAAACTACTTGCAAAGAGGTTACAACTCCTCCAAAAAAATAAATAAATAAATAAATAAAAATTATACTGTCTGACTGTCTGAATAAGAAATAGAGATTCTGGGGTCAAGAAACCTTAATACAGTGAATTATCCAAGAAATTCTACAAAACACTTGAAGGAGCATTTCTGTAATTTGGTATTGTGAAAACTCAATGTTAGAAATGTCAAAGCACATTAGCAGAGCAGAACCCAGTCCAACTTAGCAAGCTCGCCAATCCAGTGACTTTTTATGCAATAGCAACAACATCCAAGAAAGAATACCTTATCTGTTTGTCTTCGTAAGCATCTGAACCTAGCCTGCCTATCAACTGGAAAGATTTGCAGTCCAGCAACCATCAAGTCAATACCAGAAGCAGGACCCTGAACGTAAACCATTACTTTAGCTGGTTGTTTTTCAATCCGAAAAGATCCTCCAATTTCATGCCATCTATCATCCGCAATTTCAGCTTGTCCTCCATTAACCCATTGATCATCCACGTTAAGAGCAACATTCACATTCTGAGGACTAGAAGCCCCAGGACCAATTCGAACCCATGCGGATACCTGATATGTTAGATAGAGTTTCACCTTGTCTGTTATCATCTGAGCTGGTCCCATCCATATTTGGGTGCGGTTTTTCACAAGAATGTATCGACCACTTAAAGGCTGATGAGCTCCAAGGGATTCACTAGCCATGGGAGGAAGTATATGTGGAGAGCCAGTTCCAACGCTAAGGTTGCAGTTTCCAAGTGGAAACCATCCATTTGTTCCATCAGTAAGGTTGCTGTTAGCAATTATATTGACACCAAAAGCTGCATCCTGCACAGAATCAACAATTTGTTTCAAAAATTTAAAATAAAATTGTAAGGCTGTCAGGAAGTTGATACTGGGTATGTTGTTGTCAGGAAGTTGATTGTTGACAGATGAATTATAGTGAAAGTTGGCTAGACTAAAACTATACGACAACATATTTTTGTTGGCTAACAAACTAACCGCAATTATGGGAGCAGGAGAAGGAGGTACTTTTGCCGCATGTTTTACCACCAAGCTATTGAGGAGTATGTCGATGCCTGGAGATGGACCTTCCAAAAATATAACCACTCGAGATGGAGAACCATTTATTAGAAATTTCCCTTGCATCTGCACCCAATCTTTGTCTGTAGCCTGCACTCTGTAGCCTTTCCAATTAGTTGATCATTGAAGAAATTTTACGAGTACGAGAGAGGGTTTAAATAAATGACAAAACACAACTCCACAAGTAAGCCTGAGCCATTAAAATCCCATCTAAATCTTTAGTTGCATCAACTAAGGAAAATAAGAAATTTCATAATAACTGTCCATGGGAAAAACACAACATACCCAATAAGTTTACTGAAATAATGTAGTCATAATTAAAAATTGAAAAGTTCTAGCTTCTGTTCACCAAATATGCATATGACTGTCGACAGTTGCGAGCCCATGTTTATTATAATCTATCATCCTAATTTAACTCTCCAAGGGATTAATCTGCAAACAAAAACACAATGTGGAGATAGATATTCCAGTAAAACAGAAAACATGCTCGACAAGAATGATACAACATCATGACGTTCTTTAGCATTATGCCTGCAAAAGAGGGGACAAGTTTTACCCAAGGTAAAATATATTCGTGACTAGATGAAGATCAAAAGCTATCAGTTATACTTTCCTCTGGACAAGCAATCATGAGCTATGCATAAAGATATCTCCTCCGTGCTGATTTCAAACGAACAGAAGGAATGGCAACTGAAAACTTAAACTTACTTGGCAATCCCTATATACTGTTCTCGCTGATCTGCTGACTGAACCCATAATGTGGCTCGGAGTTCTGCACTGGTGGCACCATTACCAAACAGCCGGACAACTGCATCAACCTCATAAGCAAGCTTTCGATTAACTTTTCCAGTTATCTCCTGCTGAATGCCATTCCAAGTTTGAGTGCGCTCTGTAGCAGATGCAAAGAACTTCCCGGATTGTGGAACAACTTTGCCATCTGCCATCGAGTCATGCAAAACAATCTTGCAGCCTCTTCCCGACCAGTTATTAAGGCCGTCCTCAAAATTGGGATTTGCTATGATGTTCTCTTCTTCACACAAGTCAGAACCTTTGGTCTGGTTCTGTAAAGTGATAAATTCTAGTCAGTAACTTTAACAAAGTGCATATCATTTCCCTGATTCACCAATTCAGCAGCACTTTTTTTATCTAACCAACCAGTAATTCTAATTTTTATTAATTCAATGAGTCCCACGTTTTGGTAAATACAAAAGAGAGGGAGACAACTTACATGACAAGTGTTGGGGCCACAACAAGAGATTACTACTGATTTTATAAGTAATTCCACCCCTGGTGAAGGTCCTTCCAGATAAAATACCACCCTTTCAGGCATATTTGACAATGAGAATGTGCCTTCAAGCATTTCCCAGCACTTCTCTGAAACAGACCTCCTGCACAAGGATACAGCCATTAGAATGCTAGCTCTTTAGGTCTGACAGGTAACAGAAATGAAAAAGGAAAACATACTACCTCCCAATGAAGACATAACTAGTAGGAGAATTGGGGTATTCCAGCTTAAGTGTTGCCTGGACATCGGCAGAACCCTGAAGTGCACCTGATATACTGACATGTGCAGCTACCGTATAAGTGGAACCTGTAGAGACTCGGCTGGTGATATCTTGCTCCAATCCTTGCCAAGTTTCCTCGCGGTTCGTGATAACTGCATGATGACCACCAAGTTCCCCTTGAATGCAAGCAGAATCAGGTGAGAACACATAGGCTTCGCAACAATTAGGATGCCATGAATCTAGTCCTGCAGTGAAGTTATGGTTGTTGATGACATTGTTAGTAGAACTGCTCCTCGTAGTCCTTAAGTTCTCATCCGAATTCTGCAATGAGAGACAGGGATTGCAACAGTTAGAACTGATTAGATCAGTGTCACAAATGGCACTTACAGTCTGCTGAAGAAGGTTGAAAGAACAGAAAAGAATTACAAAGGCAAATTTCAGAACTGGGGCACACATACACATGGGGATCCAATGATAATAATCAATATAGCAAATACAGAAGCATTTTGGCATCTCATGAATGTAGTTTTAGGCCTTAGCAACAAGATTTTCGGGCCAATTACTACACTAATATGTAGCTGTTTAGCATAAACCAATTTCCCCAGGGTACCTGAAGGATTAGCACTTGGAACATTCGCTGTTATAGTCATTACATTGTAAGATTGCTGCTCTACTTAGCCAGGATGTGATTCCTCAAATTCAACTACAAATTTTGCAGCGAGCAACATGACAAACTAATTAAATTGATTCGTTTTGCGGTCTCAGCACAATGGCCCACAATCACACACGTACAAGGCCTTCAGTAAACAGTCAGTAAATCACCTGCCAGGCTGCCAACCCCCGTGACTATTACCTTTCCCCAAAACCCTCAACCTCAAGAACAAGAGAACAATAAAATTGGAGAAGAAACCGGAGCACACGAGAAGGTTCATATTTAAATAAGATAAATGAAGAGTTCAACCCATTCTGAATCTACATTTTAGTATAAAAGTGAAAGCTTTACAAATTAGAAAATACAGACAAATCAAAAACCCCTTCGGAGCAGGACTAATAAAGCGCAAACAGAAACAAAAGAATCCATTTTTAACAATATTCCCCCTCCCCAAAAAAATAAATAAATTGAGGGGTCATCATGATCAAAAATGAGGCATAAATTAGTCCAAATTCTAGAAAGAAAAAAAGGGTTACCTCGAATTGAATCCCATGACTGCCATTGTTGGTCATCTTTGACGGATTGTCCATTTTCTCTTCTGAACTCTGAACAAAATTTGGGGGGGGTGGGGGGGAATTAAAAACCAAAAGAACAAATACACGAAAGCGACTTCTCAAGTGAATTACACTAAATGTCCCAAAAACAAATTAACCAAATGCGAGGAATTTTCAAATCCCAATTACTAAGAAAACGCTTCATTTACCTGTGAAGAACTGTCTTCAGAAACGACCTTCAAATCTCGACGGGTGAAGCAGCAAGATAGCCGCCGCCTCATTATATATACACAACCCAAAACCGAAATGTTTTGGAAGTGTTTGAAGAAGAAGAAGAAGAAGAAGAAGAAGAAGAAGTTTATAAGTGAAGTCAAAGGAAAAGCGCGGGACCAACTGCCCACCAACCAATCACAATTCTTCACTCTTATTGTTATCATCACATCTCTCTGATCAAAGTCCTGAGTATATTGTTATCATCACATCTCGCTGATCAAAGTCCTGAGTATATTGTATTATATTCATAAGACATTAAAACTATGGTATTTCTAATGTAAAGAACGGGTCTTTTTCCTCTTTTAATTAGAGTTTACAAAATTCTGGTTTCTTTTTTTCCCTTGTTTGGTTAATTCTTTATCTGGGTTTTCTTTATCTTGCAGAATGCATCTATGAATGCTTGAATTGACAAAAAAGATTAATAGGGTTGTAGGAGGTATTGTTGAATACATTACAATCATTTTTATTTTGTTGATAGTTGGATACCTTTCTTTGTGATATAGTTTTAGGTCTTTGATTACAAGCCATGTTATCAATGTCTTTTTTCAAGTTATAAATTAGGCTTGAAAAGGCCAAAAAAAAATATTGATACTTTATGGAGGAATTATGGCTTGGGACCTCGTCAAATAAAAGTACAATTTGCGTATTTTTCTATTTTTTGTTCTAACTAGACTAGTGATATCTGGTCGCGCAATGCGCGACCCTGGCCCAGTCTATCTGTAGATCTTAGAAATGTTTATATTTGAAAAAAATAAAATTTTGTATTTGGAGCGATATATTTTAGAAATGTTTGAAGGATTTAGAAATATTTTATAAGTGTGATCATAGAAATATTTGTATTTCACAAAAAAAAAAAAGAAATTGTATTTCGCCATATATGTTTTAGAAATATTTTATGAGTGTTACTTATTAAATATAAATAGACTTAATTGAATATATGTGTTGAAGTAAATGTTAGATAAAATATAAAAGCATCCTAATAAGTTTAAATATCAGTAAGATGATCTATTGATGTTCTCCATTGGTCGTGCCAAATCAATACTTAGTTTTGGAGATTTTTATTAGCTTTGTAATAAGTTTCATTCGAAGGGTATACGCTTAAAACAAAATTGACACTTTGTAACAAAAACCTAATTGATCAATTCAATTTAGAAAACCACTCTAATTGAATGAAACATAAAGAAAAAATTTAAAAAAAAAAACGTGTCACGTAAAGTGCAAAGGGGGATTTAGTAATTTAGTTATGGTTAGACAAAAGGACAATTTAATACTTTCCTCATGTCACGTGGCAATCATATAAGGTATTTGAAAGAGGAGTTTTTGTTTCTAATACAGTAGGAAGTGGAAATTGACATTCATGCCTTACTTTTGCAGCAGTATGGAAGAAAGAGAAAAAGGATTACAAGAACTCCTAGATAGTAAATCATACTTTCTCTGTTCCAGCTCAGAATAATTATCATGTTTACTTGGACTAGACAGAAAGAGTATTTATTAATGATCATATACTATTGATACAATTCATCATATTCAACAAACTTCAAGCACCATTCGTGACTGTTGTAAATGAGTACATTCTTCAATTTTTTACTCTTCATTATGAATAGCTTCCGGCCCCTTTGGGACATCCGATTAAAAATGGAAAGATACAGAGAAGATGAAAGCTAACTTGTGTTCAAATCACCTTCAGCATTTACCAGAATGCATTTTCATTAATTCCAGAAATGCATTGTGCAATTAGCATCATGAGCTCGGAAAAGAAATTTGTATAGGTCGACAAAACTAACGTTGGTATATCACTTCATCTTTTCTTTTTTGTACTATGTTTTTCTGTTTGAATCAAGATTGGTTTTTATTGTTAATTTTAAACACCCTTTTATCTTAACCTGTAATTTTTGGATTATGAAGAACCGTCCTTTGATATGGCTTCTGACAATGGCTCATGGCTTATGTTTAATCTGATTGTTTTTATTGTACAGCCTATTACAAGGGGTAGTGTGTGATCTTCAAGTTGCGACGACTGATGTTACATTGATTTCCTAGCTTCCATCTTTACTGTATAGCATATATTATTCAGTTATACTTCTGACGGCCTTGAAACAGGAAGCATGAGACCTCCAATGTTGTTAGTTTAGGGATCACAATAATCAATGAATTCCGCTTAAAAGTCTCTTTTGGCCACTTTCTGGGGGCTTCTTGCAGACAAAATTTTTCCCATCTCTGTTGTGAGTTGTGACGAGAGAGTTTCAACATAAGGCAATGTTTGTGCTTTTGATTTTTTTTTTATATTATCATTATTATTATTATTTTTGTTACATAGAAGGAGGCTTATAAACTTGTAGTTACAAAATTACGTTTCGGGAGTATGATACTCCGATTACATCGTAAAGAAGCCAATTACTAACACAATTTGGAGGAACTTCCCATCGCTTCATTCCCCACTCTACTTGATCCATGGCGTATGTTTCAATTGCTACTCCAGTTCCCATGTCAAAGGAACCATCCGTGTTAACCTTCACCCACCCGACCGGAGGTGGTACCCAATGTTATTAGTGCTTGCTCCCTTGAACTACCGCCTGCCTTCTTCGACAGTTTCTAGCAAGAGTCACCGCCTCCACTTTATCTTCAATGGCCTTTAATTGGTAATTTGTCGTGTGACTCCGCCCAGTTACTTTGTGTTTCCCTCCTCCCAGCCAATAAGTTTAAGAAGAACCAAGATTGGAAATCCCTAGAAAAGAATGCGGAACGATTCCGGGCCTTCCGGCGCCATCCTGCACCATCCGCAGACGAAACACATGTACATGTCTTCCGGGATTGCCCCAATGGCAAATACGCAAAAAAAAAAACTTGTATGTTAAATCACAAGCAAAAAACTTGTACTCCCTCCGTCCCATAATTATTGTCCACTTTGCCTAAAAAATTTTGTCCCAAAATTATTGTTCAATTTGACTTTTTATGGATCAAGTTACACATTTGTCCTTAGTAAAAAACATTATCCATAAAATCTTAGTGGTTAAACAATTACTTATGTAGGGGTATATCCGGTTGTTTAAGATAAAATATAATTAAGTTTGACCAAAAATAAAATCTTTCATTTTAGTAAAACTGGACAATAATTATGGGACGGAGGGAGTATATGAAACAATGAAATAATCATTCACTTCCTTCTCTTATGGTTACTGTGCATAATTATGGTTCTGCGCAAGTACGGATAAGTGTTACGCTCGTTTTTTGCGCGCAAACACACACGTGGTTCCATTACATGACGTTATTTAAAGTAAAATTTACTCTCTGTACTTCAAAAGAATAATCCATATTGATGACATTTATACTAGTTTTGATTTAATTTAAAACCTCAATATGAACTATTTTACTGAGACAAAGAGGAGTAACATAAGTTGGTAGATCACTAAATAGGATAATATAGAATAACCAAACTGAAATTAACCACAAAGCATAAAAATACCGGATTCCCAGAGTGGGTTTCTCGTCTATGCGTTTTATTATTCATAATATATGGACGAGAAGAAAATGGAGTACAAATCAGATAAATAGGAATAATCATGTAAAACAATCAAACTGATTCATAAGAAAAGAGTGTATAGTTACACCACCACCATAGGTAAACAAAATATGTTCCATGATCACCAATGAAGCTGTGAGTTACATACGACGCAAAAGTTGGGTCGAATCCAAGTTCCAAACTCTATAACCTCATCTAGTTCATATGATGTTGTGCTACAAAAGTTGCCGGCGATAGAATAATACTTCATTTTATCCAAACAATAAAACACTCCGACTTCATTGTGCAACTTGGAAAATAGACCCGGTTACCAATAGATTTATTAGTAGGATCACTTACAGCAAACGAGTTGCTATGACTGACGAACAAACTCTTGTTTGGTAAATCCAGAACTGGCTGCCATTCTCTGCTTTCAAAGTTTAAACACATGACGTTGACACCATTATCTTTAAAGTTAAAAACTCCCAGTAATTTTCCATCATCTTCTAGCAAGAAACTTTGGCGTATCCCTCTCCATAATTGTCTCCATCCAACTTTTTTGAACACGGTATAATGATTTGTGATTTTTTTTGTATCAACCTCCTCGTTGGGACGAAAAATACCAACATTTCCATTATTATCTAAACAATAAAATGACCCATTATAGAAAACAGGATTATGGGTAGAGAAAGAAAATACATGATACCATTTATAAGTATGTATGGTCCTCTCCACGTTTTATGATGGCTGTCTTATCCCACATGTTGGATATTGCAAAAACTTGGCAATCTGAGTAAGTTGGTGGGGATATAAACACATAGCCGTAAAAGCAATATCGCTTTGGGGGAGTTCAATCTTTTGCTTTGTGATTGGATTGAAGAAAAATGAATCAAGATCGGGAAATGACAATAATAACCAACCAAACCTGGAGCACCGGATGATTGCTCCTTTCAAACCTGAAGCACTGACATGAAAGAACTCATTATTGATCGGATTTTAAAATTTACTTGTTCTTAATTATGACATAAATATTTACTTACCAAGTAATTAAATTATATTATACCTTATTTAAACAACAAACTTTGTTGCCTTATTGGTTTTAGATTATTAAGAAGCCGAATGCTACCAGCATTTATGAATCCACAATAATCATATCAATCATACAATAGAACAAGCAAATACTCACAAGAACTTGAGAGAAAAACAACATTTCGATCTCACAACTATTCAAACCAAGGTTTCAATATCCTTCAACCAGAAAGAATGAATTTAGCGACGCATCATGGAAACTAAATTATAAGAAAAATTTATCAAGTAATGTAACCGATTGATGTCTGTGAACTTGGAAAACTCCAAAATGAAGAAAGTGCATTCGAAAGTTTCTTTAAAGTGGAAAACTACGTTTATTTTTTTATTCTGCTACCTACTCTCTTTCCAAAATGAAAAGCATTGTCTATTTATATTCAAAAAATAGGTCAGACGCCATCAGCCTTTCAGATTTCCGCAGCTGCAGATTAACTTTTCCAATATTTGTATATTGGTCCCTTAAGTTTGGTAAAATTATATTTTGACCCCCAAAATTTCTTGAATTTTTAATTTAGTCCCTGTTTCGGTTTGGCCAAACTGGAATGCAGCATCAATGCTGGAGTTTCTTCTCTAATGCTCAATTTTGGACTGAAATTCATGTGCTCACACGAGAATGTGATGTCATTGCTCCCTTCTTGTGCTTCCTTGTCAAAATGCTCCAAAAACGTGGGTTTATGTAACATTTTGCTGAATCTCATCTCCAAGTACTCCTAAGAATGAAAAACATCAAAATACATAACATAAGTGCACAATCTAATCCAAAATGCTATACAAATAACCATAAATAACATGAAACTTCAAGACCTATCAAAGCCATATATTGACTTCTTAAGACGGCAAAACTTGACCAGGCTGTGATTTCTAATAGCCAGGAGGTGGACATGTAGACCTCTTCAGTTAGGAATTCATGGA